ATATATATATATATATATATATATATATATATATATATATATATACTTTTTCTTTTTTTAAATGTACAAAAGTGTACATTTATTTATCAAGGGCACCATAAACTCCCCTACCCCAAGGGCACTACCTTGTCATATGTCCACAACCCAACATGGCAACATATGTAGACATTCTTTTTCTCTTCACTTTTTGAATATTTATTATTCTTCTTGCCCACTATCTTTTAGCTCACTTTATTTTATAACTTTGAAACTACGATTTTCGTCCGACTTCCGAAATTGCGATTTACGTTTTTTCCATCTTTTTTTCTTAAATAGCAATTGAAAAAATATATAAAATAATTAGAATTTTCTATTTCTGATCCGATATAGGTTTCCAAAGTAATCCTGTCATTTTTTTCTCCGAAAACACACCTAATTTAAATATTATTTATATATTTTACTTATTGCAAAATTAATATAAGATTTAATTACATTTTCCATTTATGGGTTACATTGCATAGTCAAAAGCCTATAGTATTTTTCTCTTTGATATTTATCATTCACAAATTAAATTAGAGCCCCTAGTTTCTTTTCTCTCCCGTTTTTTCGTCGTATATTCACAAAAAAAAAAAATCCAAAATTATGTGAACATTTTATAAATTATATGATTTACATAATTCCCAAATTCCTACATTTTGGAGTCGAACTGAATTTCTGGATTTCAAAATTTTAGAAATTGAAATTAAAAGTAGTCTTGTACTTCCGGAAGAAAATTTTGATTTTTTTTCATAAAAGCTAATTTCGATCCAGTGTCCCACTTTTACCCTTACATATGTCTGTACTCTGTACGATAAATTTTGAAATAAATATGCAAATAATGCATATATATGTTGCAAGAGTATATATGATAATTCAAGAAATAGAATAAGACAAGAAATAGAAAAGCAAAATAAACAAATTTAAAACCATATTGAGTATTTGCGCATTAGCAAAATCCAAACCGCCAGATCAACGGCTACCACAAATAATGTTCAAGGTAATTAGCATCACCTCCCTTAATTATATTAATTCGGCAAACACAACCCAAATATTTAATTTTTTTGCATTCACCTCCCCTAAACTTTGATTATTTGGCAACTAGACTATAAACATATAAAAATTTGGCATCTACTTCATCTATACTACGATAAAGTAGCAACCACTTTTCCTCCATCTAATATTATTATATATAAGAAAAAAAAAAAAAAAAAAAAAACTTTATATTGTCCTTAATGTCGACAATGAAAAATAAATAATAAATATGTTTTTTGTCTATGTTATGTATATAAATTAGAATTATCAAAATATTTCAATATTTAAGTACAAAATATGTTTTCATTAGAAATTTTCATCGATAAAATATAGCCACAAAATAATTATCTACTATTGTTATTGACATTAGCAATAAATATTTATCTTCCAAATAAAAGAATAATATTAAAAAAAAAAATGGAGGCAAGTGTGGTTGTAAAATCAATATAGTTGAGTGATGATTACCCAATCTTTTAACTTTGTTTAACTTTTAAAATAATACTTTATTTAATGAAGTAGATATTTATTTAAAAATATATATATATATTTGAATAGTTTATATTTATTTACGAGTACTATTTTGTATTGATATGCTTAATTATCGAAAGTATTGGAAGTCGACGGCTTGTCGGCAAGTCCTTATTGGAAATGGACATATTTGTATTTTTGTCAGAAACGATATTTTCAAACCTTAAAACCACTTTTTGCCACAACTTGATAGATTACATTCACCTCCCTGAGCTAAAACTTAATTACAAAATGTCCCTTTTTCTCTTAATAAATTACATCTTGATCCTTAAAGTTTGTAAATCTCTTACATCTATTCCTACAAGAGGGTGTTAAATGTAAGAAAACGATAAATTACAGGGAGTAGAATGTAATTATGGAGACATGAAGGTTTTTTTTTAAACAGACCTTACCTCAGTGGAACAGTTGTAATTTACCCCCTTAAATTTGCAATTGACTATTAAATCATGTAAATAATTAGGGAAGCAACAAAAATATTTAAAATTTTGCTATTCAAACATGTTTCTAACTTTTTAGAAATTGCAAAACGGTCTATAAGGTGTCCGGCAGGTGTCTTCGAGTTTCTGCCACGAAACGTAGAAATGTTAAGAAGTTTAAGTTTCCGTGAAACATAGCACATGAACCATTTTTCAAACATAACTAGGGTCGAAAATCAAATCAAGCGCATGACATTTAATTTGAGACCGTTCGTCAAAAAAATCATTCGAGCTTACTTAAATTAAAAGAATCCAATAAAATTCGCGCAAAAAAAACAAACAGTAAATGAACTGGACGTTGAGAGCTTATCAAACCAAGTTCAAACACAGATTTAAAAAGGTCGATAAAAATTCAAACAAACTTGAAACTCGGCCTTCCCTCAAGTCAATAGAACTCAGAAGAATTAAGTTCCAAGATACATATACATTATAGTAATAGATATAGTTGAAAATGTTTTAATTTATTACATAATAATATAAAATGATCTTGCATTCTCCAATCAAATCTTACCTTAAAAATTCCACACAGTTTGTGAACAGAGGAGAAAAACAGAGGACTTTATTAAACTGTAGTATTGTATATAACTGTATATATATATATATTTCATTTTTACACACACATTACACATAGTAGATGTGAAAGAGTAAGGAGAAAACCAGCTGAGCTTCCATTTCTCTACCTACATCCCAAAGCTACAAGCTGCTTCCCTAAAATAAAATAAAATATAAAAAAAAAGAAAAGGTTTGATCTCGATCACGATTCACGAATCACGAATCACGAAACAGAGGAGAAACTCCGGGGATGTATATAACTAACCACCCCTCTGGTAAATAAATCTCCACCCGTTTTTTAAAAAGTCGTTAATAGTAAAAAAAACTCGGACTTTACGCGATTCTAGTGATTCAAGAATCATCATCATGCCTGGTTTGCCAATTCCTTGTCGCCGATGAATGTGCCGTGAAATCCGTACGGAACCCTCGACGGGAGTTTGACGGAAGCTTCCAATTCCATAGTAACGGCGTTCACGATTTGCAGCTCCGATTTTGAATTTTTCTCGTCGTGGCTGAAGGCGAGAATATATCCATCGTCTTCTTCTTCGTCGGATGAGTTGGGGTAGTCTCTAGGGAGAAAGAGAGGCTCTCCGCCGTACTTGTCGTCTCCGTACATGAATTTCTTGACTTCGCCGGTGAAGAGGTCCACCTTGGCAAAACCCGAAACTTTAGGCCACGGCTCCGCAATTGCAAGGTACGCGAACCGGGTTTTTCTCCCGAGTTTGTTCCGGTTCACCATGCCCGCTTCCAAGTTAACCTGTTCGGTCTCCGACAAGATGGGCTTCCTCGTTGACTCGCCGGTCTTCAAATTGAGACGGATTTCCGACAACACGCTTTTCAAACCCTCGTCGCACTCGTTGAAAATCGAGTCCGGCGGAGTCATACACGAACCGATGACCACGATTTCGTCGGTTTCTAATTCTTCCCATGCATTCCATAGATGGAAGCAGAAGCAATCCGGTACGTTTACCCACTTCATCTCCGACGAATCGGACGAGTATTTGTTCAAAACGCCGAATCGGCATACTTTTTCCTTGTCGTACACCACCGGAGAGCCGCCGCGGATCATTTCCGACAGCTTGAACACCACCTGCTGATCGGGGATGATGACGTGGTTCTCGGTGATTGCGAAATCGTGCATCATTGTCGGCTCGGCGAGCGGGATTTCGACGTCTGCTGATTTTTCGCCGGTTTTCGAGAATCGGAAGTATTTTAGGTACGGCTTCTGAACGACGTCGTAGCTGAGGGCGAAGAGTTCGCCGGAGACGGGGTCGATTTTGGGGTGTGCGATCATGGTGGAGTTCAGCTGGCCGTCGAAGCTGTACCTGCCGACGGTTTTGAGGTCTCCGGCGGGGGTGATGCTGACGTGGTAGGGAAGATCATCTTCCGACATGGCTAATAAGCGGTTGTTGAAGTAGACGACTCCGGCGTTGGCGACGCCGGAGCCTTGGCCGTGGTCGACGAGCTTGAAGAGCCCACGCGCGTAGAAAAGCATCAGACGCGCGATTCCCGAGTGGCCGTGCAATTCGCCGATTGCCTTGGGGAAAATCGAGCGGCCCAAAGCGCGTTCCTGGACGAGCCTCTGCGTCTCCGTGAACCGGCAGGAGTAGCTGGCGGCGCCGTCGGCGAATTGGACGGCGTGGATCATACCGTCGCCGTCGAAGAAGTGGTGGCCGGCCTGCGGCTCCAGCAGAGGATTGGCGCCGTTTCTGACGTACACGCCTCGGACGGACTCCGGAATTTTTCCGACGACGGGGAGGCTGTGGGTGACGGGATGCTCCGGCACCGGCGAGAAGTTTCCGGCGATTTGGACACCCGGGTCGGCTGTCTTGGGCAGAGGGAGGCCGAGCTCGTGGGCTGTTAATGCCCTCTCGACGGCGTCCAAGGCCATTGCCGCCGCTTTCTGAATCAAGTTCCGTTTTCGCTCCGACGGCTTTGCTGCGGCGGAGGCGGCGGCGGATTCCGGGTTGGCGGAAGGTGTTTGGTGGGTTGTTTTGGGGAAAACGATCGCCGGAGTTTGGAGAGAGCATTTGAAATTGTTGGTGGCGTTGCTTCTCCGGGTAGTGGTTCTTCTATTATTAGGATTGTGAAAAGACGAAAATACCCCCATCTCCGAAATCGATGAATTAGCCAATTTGGGCTTAATCCAAGAACTCGTAGAGTATGTACTCGAAATTGCCATGCTTCCCTATTTTAATTGATCACTGAAAAAAATAGTGGCTGGAGTGTGTGTTTTTGAGTGAGAGAGAGAGAGTGTGTGTTTAGAGAGAGAAAGTAGTGAATTTGTATGTATGTGTTGTGTTGTGTGAGTTAAGATGAGAGAGAAGGGGGGAGAGAGAGGAAGTATATATAGAGATGAGAAGTGGGGAAGAAGGGCCACGTGTTTGATACATGGAAAAGATTTGATAACAAAACGGGGGATTTTCGGAGGTCATTTCAAACTTCCACAATCTTTATTTTTCCCCATCATAATAGTGATATACTCTTTGCAATTTTACGATTATATTGCCTATTTAATTTATATATTTGAGCTTATTTATTAGGTTCTTGAAATATAATTTGAGATTACAACTTGATAATTACAAGAGGTTTTTTTTTTTTTTTTAAGTAAATGCATTATTCTGTACATGAAAATCTAACATCCACTCTAACTTTTTATATAAAATCATTTTTCGTATGTTTTCGATGATATTATTTTGTCGTAATGTCACAAGTCACAACTATTAATCATCAAGATAAAGAGTTTATCGCATTTTGGAATAATTCAGACATAAATACAATTAACTTGTGTGTATGTAGACGAGAGGGCCGGCCCAAACCTATATGGGGCCCTAGCCAAAAATCTATTTTTAGCCCTTTGTATTAAATCTTTTAATTAAAAATTAAATATTTTTGGTATTTTTTATTATTATTTTAAGTATAAATACTAAAATTATTAATTCTTATATTATAATTTCTATAAAATATGTGCTCTATTTAAACGCTCTTGTTTATTTGTATAAAAAAAATATTTCATATTTGGGGCCCTAATTCATAATACACGTAATTTAGGCAATCTATGTATCTTAAACATAATTTAGGCCTAACTATAGGTCTAAGTGGCCTATGCACTAGGGTCCTGTCCTGACAAACGATGCGTTTAGAGTGATTTGTGCACTCATAAACTATTTATTCATCTACAAATGTTCATAACTAAGGAGCTAGAAAAATGATAAATGGATAGAGTAAGTTAAAAGTCAAAATTGAGAAAATATCATGCGTTTTATTAAAAATTGAGATTTTTCTTTTGTTGAATAGTTTCTATATACAATACGCTTAAGTGGTCTAGTTGGTAAATACGGATAATATTGATTAATTGCCCGAATTTAATTTCTCTATCGTCAATATATACTTTTGAAATTGAGCTTATTGTACATAACTTTTCCACATTATATTTCAAAAGTCATTTTAACATGAAGAATTGCTTGGCATGGCATGATAATCCACGAAACTTATTTCAAAAAGATTTAAGAAAAAAAAAAAAAAAAAAAGCGAACAATTGAAATTGAGGGACTAGTCGGGAAATAAGAGGAAAAGGTAGATCTAGTTAAAAGTAGACAAAAGTCAATTTAATTAATAATTCATTTTCTTAATCTATAAGTGATTAGTGAGAGAGTCCACTTTCTTGTTTACACGATGCTATAATAAAATTCAAAATTATCTAAATAAAAGTTAGTTACTATTATCTACAGTATAAATAGATAGATTAGACATCAGAATGAAACCCACCCGTGTAAGATTGAAGAAACTCCCATTTTTCTTGCTGCTTTAATTTAAACTACGAGTGTGAATGGTCCGAGCGGGTTTGACAAACGCTCGAATTTGAATTCGAGCTTAGAGCTTGAGCTTTCTGATGAGCCGATCTCGAGTTTTGTGTATTTTAATTTTATTTTGAAGTTCATATAATTATATTAAAAACGACTACAGTTCGTTTTTTATTTCATATTTTTTATTAAAATGTATAACAATAAAAACCTAATAATATTAATAAAAAAAAAAAAAAAAAAAATACACAAAATGGACTTATGCTGGAGCTCAAAATATCAAACTCGAAGAGCTGAACCTCGACAAATTCAATTCGAGCTCGGCTCGTTTACATCGCTAAGCTAATAAACACCGCGTTGAATCCTCTAAAGCTGGATGTATGTATCTTTTTCTTGTAAAACGTGGCAATTCAGTTAAGGTTGTTTAACGCAAATCAAAAGGTCCAACACGCTTTGCCCCCCTACCGCCCAGCATTTTCTATTTCCTTTTTATTATCAGCTTCCCATTTGAAAACTACATTAATGCCACTCTACCTTTTTTTTTTTCTTTTTATAATAATTATTTTCTTGGCAAAATTAATTATAGGTAAATCGTAATTATAGTTAAAGTAGAAAAAAATAATTTAAATATGTTCTACTAATGCTAAAAAAGGCATTTGTATATATTTGATAAATATATGAGTATTTCGTCTGGTCGATATCGATTATGTCGTAGTTAGCTTCCTAACCTCATACAATTTAGCTTAAAAAGAGTTAATTAAATGTGCACGCTAACAATGCCCCTTGTGTTTTTCAAAGGAATTTAGGTACTTATTTCATTGACAGCCTTGCATTAATTCCTTACATAATTAATTTCAAGATCATAGGGTAACTACCATATCTATCTTTGACCAATATTTTATCTGCCAAATTGTGCTATTTTACTATTTTATTTATTTATTTATTTATTTTTTATTTAAGTTTTATAGTGTTTTTGTCCATGTCATGGATGACTCTTGCCAACAGAAAAAGGGTCCATTTAATAATCTTTAATTGGTAGGCCACAATTAATTAATTAATTAATTAATTAATTAATTAATAAATAAAGGGCTGATTATGGATGATCTTTTTGACATCTGCAGCCATATCTCACCTTCAAAATTTTATTTATAAAAAAAATAAGAAATTCCGAGGCTACGTGTTCCCTTTGAACATGGATTTGCTGGGGGTTCACACCTCCATTATTTTTATTTTTTTAATCCAATTTATATATTAAAATATACATATATCTTTTTGGTGGCAACAATGAACAATTATCTCACTCTCTCTCCCTCCCCCTTTTTAAGTTTATTAGTTAACCAGCCCCCACAATTTAATGTAACCATAAATAGTAATTAATTGAATGTGGTTAATGAAGAATTTAATTTCAACGTCAAGGCATCAAGTTAATTGAATATTTCTAATTTTTCTTAAAGTCATTTAATTGGATTTTGTTACTATTTAAAGTCTCTCGAGTTTTCTAATTATGTTATTTGGGATGTAATAGACGATTTTATATCCTCAACGGTAGTTAATACTTAATAATACATGCAATTGAGACTAAAGGCTTACCAATACATGAATAGCTTAAATAGTTTATTTGCGGAACATAGTTACATAAATGAGCAAGAGCTTAAAATGAGTATTATCTACATAATGCATTCCACAACACATATACGAAGCTTATACAGACAACTTTGGTAGCTTATTTGTGGAGCTTAGTAGTTACGTTAATAAACACGAGTTTAGATTATATATATTGAGTATTATCAGTACATGAATATACATTCAACGGCACACAGAGAGCTTATACATAACAATCACGTTTAGCTTAGTTAAAATAAATTGAAAAAACTTAAATCTCTGGTGCCTATCACCACGATCAACACCATCACCAAACAATATTTCATATTTTATCTTTTGATTTTCATGAACATTTGAAGAAATTATTGCTGATTTTTAGTATCTCTGCGGAGGAAAAAAAATGTAACCCAAACAATGTATATGTGCGTGTGAGTGTGTGTCACTATGTCCGTGCGTGATTGTGTGTACATGGAGGTGTATGTGATTGTGTGTGCGCATACGTGTGACTGCGAGTGGTGTTTTGGCGACGATAGATGGGGTGGAACAGATCTGAAGGGTTGCAGGAGGGATGTATGATGGAGGAGGAGGGGTGATTTCATCCTTAAAAAATAGAAGACATTTAGCAAAATGCCAAAATATCATTGTTCTTATTTGAAAGGGTATTGGTCAACTTTCATTATTTACTATTAGCGTTGCTCTAAGGATGATGTTATTTTCAAAGAAAAAATATATATAGTTACCAAAATGAAGATGCAATAAATATTATCACATGATATTTATAATCCATAAGGGTGACCGGGTTAGTAAAGTAAGAGAGTTGTGGTATCAGATGACCCGAGTTTGTCACGTGTATATGCATAGTTATGCACAGTTTTCCGATACACCTGTATAGTTGGCGGCATATTCATTTTTTATTTTTATTTTTGTTTTAAAATAAAATAAATAATGAATTCAAATACATGTCCAAGTTGATGATTAGTAAAATAGGGCATTTTTGAGTGAGATTAGAGAAGTGCACAAGTAGAGTGTATATAATATTTACTTAATAACTAAAATAGTTTGGTGATGATTGGCAATGACAAGCCCAACCAACTTGTTCCTTAAAACATCTTCCACGCTGTCCATGTTACATAAGCATGTTAGCACATGAATCACTAATTTTCTTATTAATAATAATATCTTAATTTTATTATTCTAATAGTCAATGCAAACCTAATTTTGCAACTTGACATAAATTAATTGTTGCCTTGGATTATCTACAAAACTAGAACAATTTTATTAGTTTAAAAGAGTATTTTTAACCAAAAAATCCCAATCGCCCCAATAGACTAATTAGTAACTTATTTTAATATATAAAATTATGATTATTATTATTATTTCAATAATACATTTAAAATTATAATTATGGACGAACCAAAATAGATGGTGAATCACCCAAAACCTACAAACTATATTCAATGAGTTGATTTTATCGTAATAAAATGGATCTTGATATCAATCGAATTACTCTGAAGAAAACGTAACTTCGGAGATGTTGACCGGCGAACAAATAATTCAGAGCATTATCATGAGAACCAATAAAGATGGTGGAATTGAAATGACAGTTCTACTACAAAGCCCGTTTCTTAGACATAACCTCATAAAACAACAATGTTATTAAAATTCTACCGTACTGTTTATCAATTTCCATGTCTAGAAAATGATTCTAATCCCGAGCCGCAAAAAAAAATTGAAATTTTTTATCATAACTCTAAGGTGAGCAAAAACTTATTTGAAAGCAGAAGTTAGTGGTGATAAGTTAAGTTGGGATTACATATTTATTTCTAAAAGTTTAATATCTAAAAGTTGAAGGTGTTTGCAAATTAGCTGGAAAATCAACTAAAATAGAAAAA